AAGGGTGAACTACCCAACGCATGCCACCCATCGTCTGAGAATGTGAAAGGCAATAGATCTAGCGAGACATGTGTATTGAATGCCTTTAATGTTTTCCATGGTCTTTGCCATCCCTCCTTTTTAGGCTGCGCTTGTGTAAATCGGTAAGCCGTCCCAATGCGTATCATGTCCATCTTGCAAGCCTCCTGCTAGAGTCACCATGTGGCTATGACAGCCTCAGCATCCGGCACTGGAGAGTTTTATGCAATTTTTTTGACAAGGTAGACTGGTTTTCTTACCCCGGTCGCCGGCTTGCGCCATTCTCAAACAAACCAGGTGCTGCTGCTGCCGCTGCCGCCTTGTAAAGAGAGCAATTCCAACGGCCAGCGACCAAGAGATATATTTGATTGTGGTTTGCAATGTAAAACAAGTGATGCAAAACCACGTACAGCCTGGTAAAGATTGTTGAATAATATAGAAATGCCGGCCTCCGTGTAACAATTTGAGTGTTGGGAAGTGAGTTTGTTTTTATAGACAACACAGCGGAGGTGGCAAGTCTGTACAACAGCTATCGCCCGTGAAGCCGAGAACAATCAAGACTCCTACATCACAGTCTCATATTTCCATATTTTTAATGATCCTCTAAAATATGCAGCATGTATTTTTTCCAGGTTTGGCGTGGTGCTACTATTGCGTCTTGTCGTTGCGGCATTCTTGTACGTCCCCCAATGCGTAGAGCTCGTTTCAAAGTGTCTGGTCTATTCAACAGCGGTTCCCCGTTTTTTTTCCTTGGTGATGAACAGTTGTCACTTACCCTCGGTATGGGTAGAAGGCCCTCACCGACTTCTTGTATTTATAGACACCTTTGGTCTTCAGGCCTTGAGGAAAACCAAGGACCTTTGATACCAAACACTGTTATTAGATGAATTGAGCTATTGCTCCAACCCCTCTTTCCGAGCCCTTGTCACAGTAGTCAAGCGAGATAGTCGCCGTACCAGAGGGTCCCAGAGTCCGGATACCTATTTATGGCAGAGTAACTACCTAGGAGGGAGAACCATTGGCTCTGATGGGATGAGAATAGTCTTGTCGTTGGCCTTGACGTCTGGGTGTATGAACCCGTCCACCTGGCGACAGGCACGGGTGTGTATCAGCGCACAGTTTCCATGAAGCCAGCAAGGCAGCGGTATTATAGCCCTTGCCAAATCTTGTCGCTGAGCCAATCCTGTACGTCGGGATTGGTAGCGAGGAAGGCGACAACAAATGCTGGGGTGGGCGTAGTTGTGTCGCGGCCCGCAACATATTTCTGTAAGTCTCATGATGCTAGTTACTTGCTTTGTCAAGATACGCTGACCAACGCTGCATGAAGTTGCTCTGTTGGTTGTGTCGCTCGTCTGATGTCTCTCGTGGGGGCGAGCACTCCGTCTATAGCCGCACGGTTGGAGCATTAGCTTTTGGATCTCGTCGCTATGGTTTCCGCTGCGAGAACAGAGGCCCATGGACACAGTGTCGATCGCATACCCATGTTTAAAACTACGCAAAATAATTTAGCATAATAAATAACTCTTGTGTAAAGAATTCCAAGGACAGGTAGAGATTCGCGGTGTAAAAAAAAGGGCATGAGACTTGGTGAGATGAATTCTAATAAAAGATTGAAGAATAGACCCAGCTTTGGATACACTCTGGCCTTTTTCGCCTCGACTCCTCTGGCGCATTTGTTGGGTATGCAAGGCCCGGTTTATTTGAGCTCTTGTTCGTGACTCAGCCTTGAAAATGTTACTACAAGATGTGTTTTCGGAAGAGTCCAGTTGTGTCCAGCTGTAAGACTTTTCCACCAACATGTGGGTTCAATTTGAGCTCTGAAGTCCATAACGCAAACCATCGGGTTGGCCGTCCAGTAAACCACCTACAGGGGCTGCAGATACCACACCTGCTGTGGTTAAGATTCTCGTGCTTCACACATGGTTGCGCGAGCGAGATATCCAACACCGCAGTGCCTCCAGCATATAAGCACGTGAGAATACGTATTTTAAGATGGAATTCGTGGGCCATTAGGGAAAGGGGTTTTGCCATCTCTGGCATGTTACATGGCCTTTCTTCAGATTGATCATAACCATCTCCTCTATTTTAACATGATATAGGTGTTACTCCTAGTTGTGGTATAATTCAGGTAGCTTCGCAGGCAGAGCAAGGGTTTGCTGTGCAATTTTACGGTGTACAGCAATCAGCCGTCTCCAGTCATGTGGCAAATCAGAAGTCGTGGCACGAAATGCTCCAGGAAGCTGGTGTCTTGTAGTGAAGACCTGCGTGTTCTTGACCATCCAGGAGTGTTGATGTGAAGCCGGATGCCCGACTATACATACGCCTCAGTTCCAATCCTATAAAAGGGGGGCGTTTTTTCCGAGACGACGCCCAGTAAGTTGAAGTGATGGCAACATCGAAGTGAATTCAGTTGTCCGTCAGCTGCCTTGACCCCCAATCAAAATTGGCCCTGTTTCGTTGGATGAACTCCTCCCTCGTCGTCCCTTCCATAATGCACTTGAAATGTTGTGTTTACTTTGATTTCGCCGGTTTTGCCACTGGTCGACGCGCTTGCGGAAGCGACAGGCGCACCCAAATCGTTCACCAAGTTATCCTCCGAGGAGTTGTCCTTGCTTCGCGTGCCACCCATGACATCAGTCGTGTTGCGCCCTCGATTTGTTCTCCAGGATCGGTGGTGGCCACCTGATGATAATTCGTAATGTCCTCGAGTAGATTTCGTCCCGACAGACGAGGCGGGACCTATAAACAGCGTACGGAGAGCTATTTACCTCGAGTCAGTAAAGACATGCCCGTCATGGATGAACCGAGACACACGCACGGGGAAGGCAAGAAGCAATGATGGCTACCGCAGTCTCAATCATGGAGACGGTGCAAGTAAGCATAGTCTCCTTCCGCCTTGAATAGTAGGCTCGAACAACTTGATTCTAGTTAGTAGAGGTGCGGTATCAGCAGGCAACAACCAACGTACTGCTCGCAATGACTACAAAAAAGCCCAGCGCAAAGATGGCAATGACTCCAAGCTTCAGCTTCAGCTTCATCTGTAGCTTGAGGACCATTGAAATGGGTAAGCTAATAACTGTTTGCGGTCAGTAGGGACGAGTCTCGGCAGAGCCAAGAGTTGCAATCGGAAGGGGGGGTTCGTACTAATCACGTCAGTGATGATATTTACTGCAAATTGCCTAGGTTAGCCCAGTTTGAGCGACGTGTGGTCCGCTTCACTTACAAAGAACTGTTAACCAGTAATTAATGTCTCCCTGGCGCGGATCGCATTTGTCTACATGTCGTTAGCCTTCTGAGCAAGTGAGTTGTGGCTTCTTGCGTACAGTTTGGATCGGTGGACCATCTCTTGTCGTGAGGGTAACATTGGAAAATAATGTTCAAGAAAATGGTGCTCCAAAAAGCAACCAAGAGAGCCAAAACAATATTGTATATTAACTGCAGTCTTGTTCCTGGCGCTGCAAGCTTCTTGTAAAACAGAACCATGGCGATTTTGACCGCCCACAATGACGTGACATATAGAATCGACCCAGGGACAATCATCTTTAATTCTCATCAGCAAATGAGCCCCGTGGTGTCGTTGTGCAACGTCAAATACCTTCATTATTTGGATCAGTTCTTCTCGGCTCGCCTTGGGAATGTTAGCCATGCCCAGATTCCACATGTACTGTTGGATGACCAAGTCCCCAATGAGACAGCATGCTGCCAACGTAATGAGTCCATCGTCAATGGCCAGCGACCTTAGTCTCTGGTAGCGGGTAGATAGTCGAGCGACGAGGAAGAGGAGGGCCACAACGGTACAGATGTACCACGATATCTGGTTCTCAATGTTAGCGTTGCAACGAGTGCCGTGTTCCGTTTGGAATACAACATACCACTTGGCCGATGCCCTCCTTTGCCATGGTGCTTCATTCATAAGGCAGTTGATGGCGTGCGACGGTTCGCCCGGCCAAGCGACTAGATAACGGGAGGTATTGGCTTTATTGTTTGTTCCACGACCCACAAAGACGCACAAACTCGGTCGTCTGACACTTGCCCGGCATGGTCTTGGGATGCAATTGATGAACAGGGATTCTTGCGCGTGGTGCGAGAGGTTTCGGGCCTGGATGACTGATCAAGCTATTCCATCCACTTTTGCTTGATAGAGATAACATGAGGCATATAATATAGTACATACTATGTATTAGCACCCGTCAGTCGCCTGTGAATACCATTTTCAATATTGGCTGATGGTCAATAGCCACCGAGGCATCGTAATATCGTCCACCGAGTACAAGGCTAGCAAGGAGATTTACGCTGGGACAGAGTCATGATCCATGCAAGCCGGATCCTCTGACGAGGTCAAGTGGAAACAATTCCCCATAGAAGATGCCAAGGCTGCAAGGGGATTAGGGGCCAGTCAAGTGTTGATGTCAAGTCAAGTCCACCAGCTGAAAAGCAACCCATGCAAGAGATGGATGTTCTGGAAATCCCAGGTTCTGCATACGGATTAGGTTGCCCCTTTCCACAAAACGGCCAGAACGAGCGGCCCGTCGCTGATATTCCATGGCGTCGGTAGGTGCGGATCCTCACGTCAACTATTGCAATTGAGTGCTTGGCTGCTCGTTGTGAAGAGGTCTGGTGCGAATCATGTCAATCTGCGCAGCGGGCACTCCCGTCGCATTTCGTCTCGGTGGAGCGTATGTGTCTGGTACAACAGCTTTATCCCAACTCGCCGTCGACCGATGGTGGATTGGGTGGGTTGATACGGAGCACACTACTCTTTTTGATGTGCGAGTTCATCTCGGCAAACTAAACAAGGTTGTCGGTAATGAATCAGGAACAACAAACTCGGGACTTGGAGTGGGGATGTTGGGCCAGGCGAAATGCAGATATCTTGCAAACTCCTGTCACCCATTCGCCTATTCGTACTTTTGTATTATTTCGTACGGACAAGCAATTCACAAAGACGGGCGTGCAACATGGGGTGCACCAACCTATGCGCCATGGCTCTACGCCTCGTGGCAACTATATTGGCCCTGACGGCCTCGGCGTTGGCAGACGCGGCTTCATGCAACCTGCCTTTGCCCAGTGCCGTCATCTCTCAGGGCGCCATCAGGGGATTTCGCGATGCCTACTGCAACGCGGTATATCTGGGGATCCCGTTTGCCGCCACCACCGGCGGCAAGAATCGGTAGGCTCACCCACGGGGCGGCTTATATGCCATGTTGATGTCAATGCGAATGCTGATACCGCGCGGTTAGGTGGCGGCCACCACAAAATGTCCCCAAGTCAAAGTCTGTATTCAAGGCCGTGTCCTATGGGCCGACATGCCCGCAGGCCATTCGTAACCCTCGGTATAGTCGACAGAGTGAGGATTGCCTGAATCTCAACATCTGGGCGCCGCCCAAGGGCAAAAACCTGCCCGTATTTGTGTACATGTACGGCGGTGCCATGGTAACTGGTTCCAATAGCAACCCCCAGCTGCAGGGCACCAATTTTGCTCGCAAGGATGTCATTTACGTCAACTTCAACACTCGCGAAAGCATATTCGCTTCGCCACACTCCGCGGAGCTGCGCAACACCCATCCGCGCGAGTCGCAGAACTTTGGCATCCTGGATGTTGACAAGGCAATGGACTGGGTTCGAAAGAACATCAAAGGTACGCTGATTGGCCCATTCTTGACAACACGAACATGGTTCGCTCACTATTCAATCTAGCATTCGGGGGCAATCCAGATCACATCGTCTTTGGCGGCCATTCTTCCGGTTCCGTGCAGGTCGATCACTACCTGTGGAACCATCCCGACACCTGGCTCAAGGGAGCCGTCCAGATGAGTGCCAATGCCATGTCGGGCCCTCCGTATGCCCCCGTGAATGAGGCTCTTGACGTGGTTGCAGCCGAGGTTGGCTGCCCTCCCAGCTCACATGGCAAAGGCCAACTCGATTGTCTCCGCGGCGTAGACGTGTACGCCTTCCAGACGGCACGGTTCAACTCGACATTCAACACATGGTTCACTCCCGTCATCGACGGCATCACTCGTCACTCGAATTACTTGGCCCGGTTCAAAGCCCGCAAGTATGCTGCGCATGTGCCCCTGCTGACCGGCAACGCCGATGGCGAGGGTACTATTTTCAGTATTGTCTACGCAGCCGAGAATAGCGATTTCCGATCATGGATCAAGACTTTTGACGCCGACAGCTCCCACATTCCAGAGTGCGCTCTTGTCCGCGCGTATAAGCCCTCTGACTTTGCCAGCGGCCCCCTTCGTAGCGGTGTCCAGTATGGCGATGCTCGTTTCAACTGCCCCGTTGACTACCTCGTCGACATGCGAAGCGCTCTCCAGGATACCTGGGTCTATCGCTTCTTTGGCGCCTATGACAACGTCGTTGGGCCGCCCAACACGGCTCCCACGCACGGCACCGAGGTCCCCTTCTTCCATGGCGGAAACGAATGCTTCCAGTCCCTCAACAATGTCACAAAGGAGCAGCAGGCACTGGCCGACTCCATCCACGACTGGTTTGTTGCCTGGATCAAGAACCCAGCGGCTGGTCCGGGCTGGGGCAAGGTCTTACCAAGATCGCAAAATATGGCGAAAATAGGCGTCCCGGGAGATGAGTTGTCGCTGGTCAAGGGGTTCACCGGGACATACAACGCTCGATGCAAGTCGGTATGTATGGGCTATTCTTTTTTTGCTTGTCGTGTCGCTTACAAGGCGCTAGGTATATGCTCCTGCATTTCCAAAATATCCTGTTGTCCAGTCAATCAAGCCTGTTCTCGAGGCACTATTGTAAGACGCTACATCTTCAGCATCGCGGTGAAGCAGAGTATATCCAACTGATGCACGTCGGCCATCGTGAGATACGCTTCTCCAAAGTTGGCCCAGTGAGGAACTTGGCAGTTTGCTTGTTGGTACAACATACCAAGACAAGCATTCTCTTGATAGTGCGCCATGAGGACCCGATGATAGAGCTAGGATACCGAATAGTGCTGTACCGAGTACACAATACTCGAGGGCGACGCTGCGACCAGAGGGAGACATGATCCAAAAATGGATGCTATTAGGGCTAACACTGCTAGCCATCTATTATACATGCTCTATTAGCCCCTGGCTTAGATACACTATACACACGCCTCCATTGAACCGTAAAATGCCAGACGAGAGTGCAGCTCTATTTGTTTCCCTTTATATCGCCAGTACCACAGAGACTGACCCTGTATATATACACACCAATATGCGATGCTAAATAATGTCGAGATGATGCTAAAAGTACAATGCGTTTCGATAAACGCGACGAGGCAAGGACGCGGGGTGGTTGAAACGTCTATGCAAGAGCGTGTTCGTTCGTTGGCGGAGGCGCAGGCATCTAGTAGTTGCAAAGTCAGAAACATGGGCCGCTTAACGTGTTTAGCAGAAAGAAGAGAGAGTATCAACCCACCTCCAATTTTGTGCTGCCCGCCATCATCTTCTGAAACCCAATGCCCACGCCCTCAATGACGGCAAGCAGCACGGCGCAACCGATGGCGCCGTTTCTAGCAGCCTTGAAGCCGCCCCTGATGGCGAGAGAGCCTCCCGTCATGAATCCCGCGCCGATGGCGTTCCACGGGTCCTCCTTCCTTCGCACACCCTTGATGGCGCAGTCGAATGTGCTGAAGAGGCCGCCCCAGACGCCAAAGTTGCCTCCTAGCACCGGTGCGCGCATCTTGACGGCCGTCATGGCCCCGATGCCTCGCTCGCCGTAGGGGCTGTTTCGGAACCCCTTGATGCCGTGCCATAATGTGCCGCCGATTGCCTGTGGGGAGAGTGAGTCGAGGGTCGGGCAGCAATTTGATGCGACGGAGTCGAAGTTGGACTTACCCCCATGGCGAAAGCGCCTCCGAAATCGTTCAAAATCACATAGGGACATGGGTCCCTTCCATGATCGAGAGCCATTGTACCGCGGGTGAGGAGAGGGGTGGGCAGGAGGGAAGCAGGCGGAAATCCCTATCGGAGATCGTAAAGGAGATGGTTCAACTGTGACGTGGTTCATGTTGCGATAAGATTTTTTTTTTGGTGGAGCCACGGAATTTTGAGTGCCGAGTCGGCATCAAGTGCTGCCTACCCTAGACTTCCTAGACTGGTGGGGCTTGTGCTTCGGTACAAACCATATCCTCCAATCACGCTTCTTCCATGGCAGAGAGTACCGACTCGATTAAGAAGAATACATCGATGCCTTTATACATGCCCAAGTACACCTAGGTGGCGTTTGTAGTTGCAGTCGATGAAAAGCATCTCAACTTCGAAACTATGCGTGCAGTTATTCCAGGCTATCCAGTCGTGCGATGCCAAACCCCACGGCACTGCATCTGTGGTGACATTGAGCTTCCACGAATGTGTGTTGACCGAATATAGCATCTGGTCCGATTTAACCTGGTACAAAAAGTCTTCTTTCTATAACCGGCATCAAGTCTGAAATACCCTGTGCGGACTTATCTCCGTCACCCTGTTCTAACCTTTGCGAATATAAGTGGCTAGTCCACTTAGTTGCCAACGGGTAGATCTTCTTGGGCTCCGTAGCAACTACTAACTAGTGTCCGTTTATCGTCTCCATTTAACTGGCAGATTAGCTTTGTATTTTATCTGCGGAAAGCCCTTATTATTATGGTTTTGCGTGGGACTCACACTAAATTCTCAACTGTATTACATCGTCTATATCTTGTCTACCATTTCTCTTGAAGCAGAGATGGATTTGACAAGGAGTCTTTCTACATCTCAGTCCTCCTCTTTTCAAGTGTAAAGATTTCATGGACACACATGACTTGCAAGGAAAAGGCCCGGGAGCTAGGAACCGCGAAGCTTATTACATAGTCTACTGCAAACCAACTCGACAACGTATTCTACAGCACCTGACTGCTTGAAATATACTACCAGAATTGTACAGCAACGCCAGTAATATCGCGGGTCACAAGGCTTCAAAGCGGGCGGTTATTCATCCGTTCGTGGCGCATGGCTGAAAGAAGACGACGCCACCATGCGATATTGCCCCGGTCCCATTCGGTAAGCATCAAGCCTCCTACACTTCCCCTTTGGCCGTCATCCCGAATCGCACGACATTGGCACGGCCTCTGCCTTATTCCTGTCCCGGTGTTCCGGTTGTCGCGCTCCGGAATGCCAAACGTATAAATACTACCAGTCGCTTGCGACGCCGTGAAATTTGACTGGGTGGCACAAATGCCAATCTTGGAATAGCACCGATTCCTCAAACAAGGCCTTGCACAATACGTACATGTGTACAATGCCTTCCATTTACACTGAAGTCGAGATTAATTGTTCTCCGGAGCAGGTCAGAAAAACCGTAGGTATACTTTAGTCCCAGAGGCATATAAAATGTACAAGGCTGACGGTTTCTAGTTTCTCGACTTCTCATCCTATCCATCTTGGCCCACGACGTTCATCAAATCAATCGCGCCAGTTGATCCAAACAAGCCAATTGAGGCAGGGTCCAGGCTTACCATTGAACTAGAGGGAATGTCCATAAAGCCAATCCTAGTGACCAACTCGGCTGATGAATTCAAGTGGGTAGGCAAACTCTGGAACATGCCTGGACTCTTCACCGGCCATCACTACTTTAAATTTATGCCCAGCGTGAAGACGCCGGGTGCCACGACATTTGTGCAGGGCGAGGATTTCTCTGGCATCCTGTCATTTCTCATGGCAGAGGGATCTAGGTTTTGGTCATCAACTAAGAAGGGGTTTGAAGGGTTTAATCAAGATCTGAAGAAGAGGTGTGAGAGCGGGAACTAGGATATCCTTTTCTTGGACATGGCTGGTACGTTTTTGGCGTGAACTGTCTATATAACTATATGAGATGAGTAGTGGTGTGTGGATAGAAATGGCTGTTTCACGCTGTTTACAAAATATTTCGTGGGGGGATTCTCCATTATCTCAGTCTTACGAATACATAAAGGGGAAAACCTACATTTGGTAGCGTTCTCAGGCAAAGTTCTATCGAATTCTCGAAGACGCACCGTACAAGCCTCTCAGTTTGCAGCCTGCCAACCTCCTTGCACATGTCCCAACACAAGGGCTAGCTGAAGCGCAGCATCAGCAGCCCCTGGTACACTTGGCATCAGCGAATGTGTGACAAGGGTTCAATACCGAAGGCTTAGAGCAGAAGGGCTCAATTTAATAATAATCTCAAAGGGTCTTAATGGTCTTTAGTTACTAAGAAGAAAAGAAAAAAATAACTACTTTATATATATAAAAGGAATACCTAGGCTTAAGTCTCTTACCTGGGCAGGTGTTTAAGCTGTGTAACTAATAAGTCCCGTATCAGTGACACCCCTTTATTAGGCTTCACGATCTGTTGGGTCTTTTCCGTGCAACAGAATGCTTGAAATATCGGGGAAGTTGCCCTAACAGACATTGCATAATCGGCGATAGGAAATGGTCTTTGTTATACTGACAAAGCTATAAGCCTGACCGAGCTCTGTCTGCTGTACTCCATTGCGACTTGCACCTCCCAAATCATCATCTAGGCACCCTGATCAAATATACCTTCTTTCTATCGCCCTCCCCTACCAGTCCTACCTCTAGGCTTATCAGGCACAACATTGAGTCCCCTCGTACCTCTCAGTCCCATCTTCCCGACAACACCTTTTTGAATAGGCGGCGTCTCTGGCGTGCCCAGCCCATCGTGCGCAAATATGTTCGCTTGCCTGACAAGCTCCGTTTTGTCCCACCTCAAACCCTTCATATGGTTGTTATAATATCCCAACCACGCCTGGTATATCTGCGCCTTTTGATCCTCGTCGATGGTATCCATAATCTGTTCAACTTCATCAGCAGACGATAGATCTGCCTCATGGGGTATAAAGGTGAAATTCTTTAGGGTCCACTTCGGGAAGAAGGACTCTGCCTCGCAAATGAGGAAAATACCACGTCCTTCAGCATTGGCTCGTGCCGTACGGCCAAGACGGTGGATATAGCTCTCCTTTTCCGAGGGTATGCCGATTTGAAATACAGTCGTCACGCCAGGAAAGTCCATGCCTCTGGCAATGACATCCGTAGCTGTCAAAATAGCAGATGGTGCTTCGCGGTAGTCATTCGTGATCTTGGTTCGCTTGTTCTGCGTCATTCGGCTGTGGAGTGTAGACACGGGTGGCAAACCGGGGATCCTGGACAAGACATGTCCGTAGAAGCCGGCCTGCGCAGCCGTAGGAGCGAAAACAATGGCCTTGAAGTTGTCGTGCTTCGCGGCTTCTTCCCTGATGGCGCCGACCATGCCTGCGGTGACGGATGCAAACGTGGGCACCGTGATGAGGACTTGTGGTACCCGTTCGTGCGTGTTGGCTTCGCCTTCGGGAATGGTGGAGATGAATTTGTATCCCGTCGATAGGACAAGACCAGCAACCTTGTTGACGCGCTCGGCAATAGTGGCTGAGAACAACATGCTCTGTCTGTCGACCTGTTTCTTGTCGGGCAGCTTGCTGATGATTTCTCGAAGGGCAGGCACAAAACCCATGTCGAGGAGTCTATCGGCTTCATCTAATACAAGCGTATCCAACTCCCGAAAAGCCCATAGGATATTTTCATTGGACATGTGGTCAATGAGCCTGCCAGGCGTGGCGATGAGAACGTCACAGCGATCAAGAATTTGCTTCTCTTCGCGGTCCTTGTTTGTGCCACCGATGGCGGTACGCACGCGATAGTCGGGCAACCTTTGGAGTAAAGAGGTGGCTTCCTGCGCAATCTGCAACGCGAGCTCGCGAGTTGGCGAAATGACGAGGAGGGAGATGGCTGAACCACCGGGTTTCTTCTTGGTGATCATGTTCTGAAGAGCGGGGAGCAGGAAAGCAACGGTTTTTCCTGTGCCGGTTTTGGCTTGGACGAGACAGTCGTGGCGACTGGGCGGCAAGAGCTCCCAGAGAGTGGCGGCCTGGACAGGCATCATGTGGTCAAATTTAAGGTCCTTGGTGATGGCTTCGGTGAGCGAGGGATGGAGGTGCTGCTCATCAAGCTCAGAGAACCTCGGCGTGTCGAGCGGAACGGCTTCTGTGAGGGGCGGCTTTGCATCAAATGGCAGAGGCGGCGTCTCACTGCCGTTGATGGGAGATGGGGTGTCGGTGGGAGTGTCGTGAGTTCTTTGCGCTGAGCTTCTTCCCGATGGTTGAGCATGGCCGCGTCGACGTCCACGGCCATGGTGGCCTCGACCACGGGTCTGACGTTGGCCTTTCTGTCTGTCGCTCATCGCGACGAGCCGAGAGGAAGACTGCCTCTATGTGCTGCTCTCTCGATGGACTTTGTTCCCTCCGTACGTGGACGATGGCAGAAGGTCAGAATGCTGGTGCCGGCTCATGAGGGATCTGTGATTCTGTCAAGGTCAAATTTGCATCACTGTTGACCCACTTGCCATGTCATGAAGTCAAGCTGTCGTGCTGAACAGTCCACAAATCTGGCCAACAGCCACGTACGCGCCGTGCAACATGGCCGATATATACATCAATAGCCAACAGGATAGTTGGGTCTTAATTGGGCGAAAACAGTCTGCCCTGCTGATAAAGGTGTCTTGAAGTTCAATTGAGATTGCCTGGTCACTCATCCACCTTGATTTCATTGAGCCTGGGTAGGTCACGTGCACCCGCAGCAACGCCCTCTGCCATGATCCGTGTAATCTTTTCGCATGTGCATATTTCAAGAGTCTTGCACATCTTGTCATTGACCTTGACCTCAAGCCAATTATCTCTCAAACACTCTATCCAGCGCTCCGGAGAAACTATGCTCTTTGCCACTTGACGACTCGGGATATCCCTCATCGTGGTGGGAACGGTTACATGTACATGAGTTGGCAAGAACATCTGGAAGCTTAGTTTCTGATACCACTAGTCACTTGAAGCGTTCGAGCGCTCATGTTCTTAAGAAATAACGGCGACTACTACTGAGATGGTAAGGCC